TTTATTTAAAAGGCGTTGAATAATTGTATATATTTTTTAAACATTCGTTGTCTATATGAAATCGTTTAAAATTTTTTGTGGGTACATTTTTATTTGATTTGGTACATTTTTTTCCGATTTTGGTACAATTTCTAAAAATTCATTTATCATCCCTGGTTGGCATCAAACTTTATATTTTTAAATAACTATGAGCGCACCGAAACAACTCCCGGCGATAACAAAACTGAAAAACAAGTCTGGGCATGTCATAGCACACACTTTTCTTTCTCTACCTAGCGCAGTGATCGACATGTCTCAGTATATCCAGTAAACAAACTGAGCTGTTTTTTTCTCCAAATTTGGTCCCCATAAACGACTTAGAGTTGCAGACAACGCTTTTTCGGTAATTAGAGTGTTGTATAGCAATTAAATGTGGTGAAAAATTTTTGTACCGAATGTATGAACGTAATTGTATTTTTTATTTTGATAATACTAATTAGTGCTATTGTTTATAAGTCGAAGTGATCTAAAGAATATGTGTAATTAAATAATTTAGTTAAATGTAAATGGTGAAACATATTTTATAAATTGATATCACTTCTATTATAAATTATAGTCATAGACCCAGCAAACTTCGTCCCTCCCAAAATAAATTTTTTGTTTTGCAACATTTTGGTGCAACATTTTCGCCAACAGTTCACGTTCAGGATATTCAGTGACGCATTTATTCTAATATTACGATTTGGTGGTTGTCAGAAGGCATATTTCCATTGCCATCTTAAATAACCTAGAAAAATTGTATATGCATACACCGCTCCCTTTTAAAATAGCCCCAATTTTGTCTAAGGGAATGTGATTGATTTCATATACCTCCATACCACCTGCGAGTACTCTACCATCAACACTTCCAGGGAAAAACTCGTTTTGTTTGTAAGTTCCAGTACTCTACCTCGAACACTTCCAGAGATATTCAGTGTTAAAAATATCGCGGTCTATGGGAGGTGCCACGCCCCTTTTTCCAACAGCCCAAATTTTTCGTCATGAATATGCGATTGAATTTATATGTCTTGTACATACCAAGTTCCAGTACTCTACCATGAACACTTCCAGAGATATGGAGTATGAAAAATTCGGTTTGATGGGAGGTGCCACGCGTTGTAGGCATTCGAGTACTCATCATTTGATTCCAACAGAATATTCGATAAATAAATATTTATTTTCTTCATTCCATACATGATTCCATTTTATTATTCTGGAATTGAACCATTTTTTTTTTTTTTTAATTTAACAAGAGCACTAAGAAGGTATTTCACTTTAAGTTGCTCGGAGCTAATTTTGGAGAACATCATCCAACAGAAAATGCATCACTGAGAGCATTATTATTAAGCTAGAAAACAAAAACAAAAGCGTGAATTTGTATACGTTTTGCAATAGAATTGAGATTTTTTATAATTTAATGGCCTTATTCATAAAAAATAAAGCAGGTATAAAGAGCTCTATAAAATGACGTTTTCATACATTTTTCAGTTTATAAACCTTTTTTAAAGCTACTTTATTTTTTATGAATAAGGCCATAAGTCTATTTTCTCTCTTTTTCGGTGTGATATACATACATATGTATTTATGCAGCGATATATGTGATATATTTTGCAATGCAAGTAAAATGCTAATCTAGGACGCAGTACAAATATTAAGCTCTTGAACTCCATTAATGACGCCCTAATGTCGAGTGCTCAAATTCTCACGAAACTTTCACCTTGCTATGTAAAAAAACAAATATATATATATATATATATATATCTCATGATCCACTGATCGGATCTTAACCAGATTAGTATGGGACCACCTCTGAGATACTACCTTTCCGATGGGAAAAGAATTATCGGTTGACCTGGTCCAAAGTTATGCGGTAACATACATAAAAAAAAATATATATATATATTCCGACAAACTGATAACCTCCTCCTTTTTTGGAAGTCGGTTAACAACAAGGGGTGTTTTTATATGAAAGGCAACTTTTGAGCGGCTGCGCTTAGAGCGTTCCGATAAGCAATAGGTGTGTACGCGTATTGAGAGGACAAAATTCTCCAGCAGCAAAAGTTCTGAGAATTTAGCAACATTCGCTCTCAAAGAGACGAAATATCAACAGAAGTACGAGAACGCAAAATTTGCAAAAACTTGCAACCTTCGAAACAGCTGATCACTTGCACAGTTGCCACTGGTGATTAATTTGGCAATTTATTTTCTGTTTGGTCCATTTTCCCCCGATTTGGCATTTTATACAATTGAATAGTTTTCGATAAGAAAAATCTTTTTAAAATACAAATTAATGAATTATATGAATCAGTTATTTTTTTCATAATTATTTGTGATATCACATGGTGACGTATTCAAAAACAAGAGTATCTCCTCCAAACACCCATCATTGATCCAAAAACAATGTAATAGATATAGCACAGATGTAGCTTTAAAATTATAAAATTTTCATTTCAACAATCAACCTACCAAAACCGAAAACTTCAGCAAAACAACATTTCAGCATGCTGCATTTGAATCTATTTTGGTATATTTAAAGATAAATTATTGTACAAACGAAAAATGTCATACGGCAACCATGGTCAGCACACACTAAAGTAAACAAACTGGAGATTAATAGCAAATTAGCGAAAAATAAACACAACCAACGTTGTGCATATTAAATTTACTCACTTTTTCGTTGTATACTAGCATTAATAATAAAATTTGCAATAAATAACTCAAAAAGGCCTATTTTCTTTTGTTTATTTACAAACATGTGTTTGTGATCAGCTGATTTTCTAGCTTGCAAGTTTTAGCTGGGAAAAATTTTTCCATCAGAAATTTGCAGCTCTCTTTCACATTTCGCTCTCCCAATTTCCCCTACTTTGCAAGTTTTTTGGGTACGAGAACGCAAAACCAGTAAAAGTTTTCTAAAACTTTAGATAGTTGGGCGTACGCGTACACTCCTAATGTTATTTTGTAACAAATTTATCATCAAACGGTGGCTTTAAAATTTCTTTGATATTTACTTATTAAAGTAAATCTGTATATTTCTGTTTATTCGTAAAATTGATGCACTAAAATTTAGTAAAATTTAGTGACTAAATGGAACTTTATTCTAATAAATTCTAAAGTTTATTTCATTAATGATGAAAAACAACCGTGCGTGTAAGAAATTTTGCGCTACCAAAAATTTCACCTCTTTATACTGTTGCTTCAACTAAGATTTGGTAACTATGACTAAACCAGGTACTTTTGAAAGTAATGATTAATAAAAAAACATTACACAAAATTGATTGTGTTTTGAGGCCAGTGTTAAAATTTCCTATTGGGTCATTGGTAGATTGGTAATATGTCACTGGGCGAAGACAGTGACGTCAAATGAAAGTGTGAAGTGCAATGTTTTGCGTTTATTCTTATGTAAATAGTTATATTAATATAATATTTAAGTGCTATTGTGATAAAAAAAGATGTATATATGTATGTGCATGTATATTTTTCAGTCATATGTAATTATGTCTTAATTGTTGTGTGTATTACGTTTTGTTTTTTTTTTTACAATAAATCAGACTCCCTGATGAAGGCGTGAAGTACGCCGAAACGCGTAGGAGAAAGAGGAAACGCAGTTTGCCTTTTAATATACCGGCCGGAAAGCTCTACCAATGACCCAATATTAAACAAAATTTTCCAAAAACAAATCGTCTTCAAATAATTTAATAATAATAATAATTTTATGGCAAATGGCGAATTTTTTGGCATTTTTTTCGGAATTCTGAGGGTGCACGACTCTAACGGACTTCAGATTCGGATTCAGCGGGTCGAAATACATGTTTCAGGTGGGTCTGGTTAAATACACACACCCCTCTTCTTTGTGCCAGTGTTGTAATTGCACTTAAAATGTGTACAGCAAAGCATGCAAAGCAGAGTCTTCTAATCTCGACATGAAGTTGTTACATACAAAACCTGCTGCTGAAAAACATTTTTCGGCCTCAACACATTTAGGATGAACTGTGAAAAGGTAGCCATAAGTTTGAAGATAATGAACCCTATCTCCTCCATTAGAAAATGTTTGAACTCCTTTTACCATCTCGTTGGATAAATTATAAGTTTTTCGATTTTAGAAAATTTTAGTAGATTGATTTAAAAAATTATGTAACTTTTCCTTAAAACGTTCTGTTTCGTTTACACAAGCGACGCTTTGAGTACATTCATTCAAATCTTCTTCTTCAAAAAAAAAGACCCGGGCTGCAATTTTAAAAGTATAATTTCGAGCTTTTTGGTAATTGTAGTCAAAATGGCATTTTACAAAAATTAGGTATACTTCAAATTCATAAACAAATTCTTACTATCAATTCGACGTTTCTAATTTTTTTGGGGTCTCGTGAGGAATGCAAGCAAATCCTGGGATTTTCGGCACCTCAAAAACACCGGGATCCCGGGTTTGGCATCCCTAGTTTGTACTTTTAAATCCAGTATTTAGTGAACTAAAAAATACAAAGTACTTTCGTAGCGGCATTTTGCTAGGTAAAAGTAACTTCATATCAACTTGTATACTTAATATTTAGTTAAAGTTTTTAACATACTTGAAATATGAATGTTACTAACATAAATGACTAAATACTTTTGGCTCTATGACACAATAAGTATATTACTCCTCTATCATATCGTCGCCGTCATGCCAGAAGCATGAATGTGCAAATTTATCACTTTTGAGTTATTGGGTTGATTTGATCAACCTTTGGATGTTGTATGTTATATTAAAACCCAGAATATCATGCGGAGAAGGAAACCACATATTTTATAATTTTAATTGCATAAATGTAGAGTTAAGTCTCTTAAAAAAAACTTGCAAACTGGATTTCCTAAAATTTAAATTTTACACATTCATGTTTCTGGCATACGGACGACGATACATATCACTTGTTTTACCGAGCATCATCGGTATTTTCTTTTTTTAAATAAAGTTAAAAATTTCCTTTAATAAATCCTTTCCTTTCAGATATATAATTAAATATACAATACTATTATTCAGTTGTATATGCGCGGACAAATGAATAAAAGGACTCAGCATGAATCAGATTAAAAATATTGGAATACCTGAAAATCCGAAGCAGTCTAACTTCCCAGGTGAAAATGTTGCCGCAGTAAAGAGAACTAACCAAACAGAAATCAATATCACTTCTACGAAGAAAATTAAATTGGACGGGACAAATAATACTGTTTGGAATACAGAGGCCACATTAATGAAAAAGCCTCTTTGCGATGGCAATAAGGACGATCTTATTAGAACGGGGTTTAAGAGGGAATCCGCAACAAAAACATTTGCAAGTTTTCAAAACCAGGATAGTGAAATTTCAACAGAAAGAGGAAAAGCGGCCTTTAATCCCATTCGACATCTGGGTAGGACTCTTAATAACTCGTCGCCGTCGAGTCCCCTTAATGCGGATGACTTCGTTGTGGTAGCTTCGAGCTTAGCGGATTGTATTGATGACAAAGATTGTGATAGAAGCAATAAAATTAAACAAGTTTCTGAAACAAATTTTACTTTAATAAATGCCAGTGCTAGTAGCCGTAAAGATACAAATACAAAATGCTCTGCACAATCAGACTGCAAAGATTCTGCGTTATCGCATATAAATCCAGAAGGTAGTTCAAACGAAATAGATCTGGTTATGTTACCTTCTGTACAGGATCAGAAGTCAAATCAACAGTTGTCGTCTCTAACTTCTGATAGTAATAGTCACTCTGGGCCACCTACACGCATTGTAACTTCCGGTACTAACATAATGCGCCAAGGTACAGTCACTTATACCCGTATAACCACCGCTGGCACCATATCTACCGGATTACCGTCTACTGCAACTGTATTAAACCGTATGAATATTTCTCCAACTTTGAAGAATCAGCAAGTAATGGTGACAACTAAGAAGCTTGCGTCTGAAGTGACACAAACTACAGCAAAAGTTTCAATTGGTAATACCACAATATCTGTCCCATTGTTAAAGCCCCTTAATTCTTCGCAACTAATGCATCCAACAAGTTCAGGACACAGTGATCCTCAAAAGCAATCGCAAACGACAACGGCAACATCGTCACAACCGCTTTCTACTCAAACTCAAATAAATTTGAGCAAAATACTGAACGCAAAACGCGGCCAAAAGGGAAATCATCCAACAATAGTTTCGCTCTCACAGCTTCAAATCAAGCCCGTGTCAACAACAAAGCTTGTCCAAACCAAGGTTTTTAGTAAGAAACTACCACAAGTCCAGTGCACAGTAACTACAAATTCTCAGACCCATTCTGGTCTTGTGACCATTGCTGTATCGAAAGCCAAACAAAGCATAGCGTTAACTCAATCTGGCTCAAAGAAGTCCAATATAAGCCAAAAACATGATTCTAGTAGAGTTTTACTAAATAACCCAACTTTGGAAGAGGCATCCAGTGTACTAGATAAGAATTTTGGTATGGAAAATGCGGATGCCGGGAATGAAAAGTTGGAAAAATCAACATCCGAATGTAATGTGCTTGACTCCAATATTTCGCTAAATTTAGGTTCAATAGAGAAACCATTGAAAATCATGTCTCCTGGTATAGATGAAATATCACTAAATAAAACAACGGCCACCATCAAAAAGGTTCTAAACCCAAACGTAAACATCTTACCTTTGTTAACGCCGCTATCAAAAAACTCCGAACAGCAAGGAGGCACAGGAATTTATCCAGCTGTTAGCATAATTAGGCAAACAGCACCGCAATTAATAACAACTTCAGCCACAACCACCTGCGCATCCGTGTCGACAAGCGCGTCGGACACTAGTATCCAAACAGATTTCCATAGTTCAAAGTCGGCAAATGTAAATAATATGTGCGGAAAGTTAAATACCACTTCTTTAATATCGATCCCTAAAAACATTTCTTTGGTTTTATCTAAAAACAACATTAGTCAACAAGGTAAAGCAACAATAATGTCTGCGAATTCTATTAGAAATGCAGGCACCATTGACCATAAGGTTAAAAAAATTAATTTAACTGTATCGAGCGGCCTAAATGTTACGGCAGTTAATTCGATTAATATGACACAGTCATTCAATGTCAGTAACACATATTCTACAGCAATCCAATCACATTCGCAAGAAGCGAGCCAGATTAATAAATCCACCGTTATTTCCGTTGCAGTGCAACCTTCCAATTATATTAATTCATCTGATCAAACTTTACTATCACGTAAAACTGTGAAAGTGACACCATATACATTATCTACACTGGGACAACATTTAGATAAGAGATGCAGGTCTTCTGAGGGACATGAACAGGATAATCGCCAAAATGTAACTCAAAATATAGACGTTTTGCCGGCAAAACGCAGCAAACATGATAATTCGGAAAGCACTACAGATATTTTTGAAGTTATTGAAAAGAAAGATGTTACTGAAAATTCCCATGGCTTGGGCGAAACGAAACCTGTAATAAACATGGACAAGCATGGAAACGTTGAACTTAATCAGCCGTCCATAATAGTTTCTAAGTCTGAGGAATCAAACAATGTTCTGCTAAAGAAGCTTCTTCAAAACTCCAGCAGCACGCACAATGTCAATATTTTATCCACAAATGTGCAAAACCCAGCAAATACTTCAACGGCAGGACAAATATGTAATCAAGTACTCCCTGCCCGTAAAGTTATCAATGTGCGTGCACCTAGTTTGGGTTTAGTGAGTTCGCTGGAAGCGCAATTGGCACGCCCGGTTATACCTCCAGTTCCAGCAAACACTTCTGCGCAGGGTCAAACCAATATTTCCAAATCGCAGAAGAGTGATTCTCAGGAAGAGTTGCAAAATAAAGTCAATAACGAAAGCATTACTTTACAAAGTGATGCCAAAATAAAATCTATCCAAGTTATTTCAAAGGAAACCTCATTCGTCTCCAATCCAAATATAACACAGTTCTCATTAGATGACGCGCGTCACTCGAAAACATTAGGCGCAGGTCAGGAGTCGGAGTTTGAAACGTTAAATCAAAGCAATCCAATTAGTTCCTGTGATAAAAACGATGCTAGTAACAAACAATTTCGAAACCAATCTCACGATGCTTCACCCAAAGATAACAATGGAAATGACTTTAAAGAACATGGAAATGTACAGGGAAATCAGTCGCAGTCTAGCCAAGCGTAAGTACACATGTATGTTCATCCATATAAAAAAAAAAATAAATTTTTTCTGTCAATGTAAAATAAGTTAATAGTAAACAAATATGTTTAAAACAAGATTTCTAAATATGAACCAAATAGGACCCTAAATATGGGGTTTATCAAATATCTTGACTCCTACGCCACTTATCGGCAAAATTTGGTCTGTAGTATTTCTCAGGACGAAAATTGCCGCCTACATTGGCACAAGCGCGCGTTCTTCTGTGATCTTGCAAATAAAACATTGGTCCTCTAGCCATATGTTTGTAAGCCAATAAAAGTCTGTTATAGGAGGGCCAAGAATCCTCCTGTTTCACAGGACTAAGTTGTCCCGCACATTGGCTAAATGAGTCGTGCGATCTCTTGAATATTATTCAAATTAAGCCATTGTCTCAACCCTTTAAAATCGTATGTTCTGCCTGTCTGCAAAACTAGAGTAAGTTTTAGCAGCATTCCATCTCTTCGCCCTGATAACAATCCTTTAAAGCTGGTTGAAAAAATAACTAATTAGGCTTTGATATAAACAGTAACCTTAGCTGTACTGACCATATTACCCTTGAAAGTCAGTACACTACGATGTAAGTTGATCAATGCACTCCTGTCTCAAAAATCCATGTAGAAAATCGTAATAAATCATCGCACGAAAATCACGAGTTTCACCAGTTAATTCCATATTTTGGGCGCGATGAATACTAAACTTTTCAATAAAAATATCGATGTACTGCTCATCAAATGAGTGTTGCAAACAGGGTTGCCACTGACGAAAAAAAATATTTACCATCTACTTGAAAAAAATCTACCAAATCTGGGAAATATCTACCAATAACTTTTTTATAATTATTTTAATAAAAACTATAGTTTTGTTATTTTTTTATTTATTTTAATTAAAACTATTTTTTTATTTTTTTTTTAGTTATTTCAATAAGAATTAAAATTGTTTTCAAGAACTTTTTATTTAACTAGTTATACGGTATTTGAGTCATATTATTGTCATATTCTAAGTTTCATTCAACCAAAAGCGGAAGTGATGAAAATAAAGGCAACAATGAAACTTTATTATTTGAAAACTTCAACTCGAGGTTTTATAGACAAATACAGTGACTCAAAAAAAATTATTTTTTTTTTAATATTCGCAATATTTTTCGAGTAAATTTTTTTATTGCTTTCACTAAATCCATAAAAATCGAGGATTCAAACTATATACAACATATAGAAAAATTCCAAAAATTTTCGTCTAAATTTCGAATTGTTTACTCTGAATTTTTAGAACAATTTAAGGTATGGAGTTTTAAAGCAAATACTATTTGAGTATAGCCAACAATGTGCTGCTTAAAATTCCCGTTGATTTTTTTTTTTTTTCCCCCATTGATAGAAAATGGCGTTGATTTAATTTTTTTTGCGAACAGTCATAGTGCGTAATTACATACCTGTCAAATTTTTTTTTTATATTTAAATAATCATTTAAAATATTTAGGCAATCAAAAGCTCCTCCAGATTCCAGTAAAATTAGTTTTGAATAGAGCGCGATATGGTCGCCTTATATCGATATACGGCGCAAAATATAAAAGGCTACACTCGTAACACTACTTATTCCGTAAATTTTGTTACTTGGTCTTTCCATAGCTCAGCAAAACCTTATTTACTTTCATTATTATTTTTCTTTGTATTTTTCATTTTTCAGTGACTCACAGTGCCTAATGTTATATTAAATAACAATGCATTACGTATACATACATATCGTCGCTTTGCGTGCAATACCGTGTACACGCAAAATGCAATACCGCGTATGTGGTGGCTGAAAAAAAAGATCTCGGTATCCTGTCTCAAATTTGTATGTGGAAAATTTTTCAAGAAAAAAAATTAAAAAATATTTTTTTTCGTAAGGAATTTTGATGTGTTTATGTGTGATTTTATCGATAAAAATGTTTTAATTGCGTATGCATGTTCACTTTGAGCAAATTGTGAGCACTGGTTGGGGAAATCTTCGGTAGATTGGGCAAATCGCTAATTGGGCCCCAATTGGGCCAAAATTAGAGCCCAATTGGGAAAAACTTTTGGCTCTGATCGGGCAACCTTAAAAAAATTCCAGCAAGGAAACTTTATCATAATGGGCAACAATTTTTGCGTCCTCAACTGGCACGAAAATCTGCTAGCATCATATAAGTGCATTTTCAGAAAAAAAATCATAACTCGAAAACGACGAATTTTAGCATATTGCTACTCGTACTGAAAATAGTTTATACTATTCCCTTATAGACAGAAAAGTTTGAGAGAAAAAAAAGATGTGGCAATTTGAAACAAAATCAATTTGAAAATAAAATAAATTTTTGTTTATAAACAATAATTAATTATTAATAAACAATTACTGATATTTAGCTCACTAGATCGATTCAGTAGATCAATATCTGCAATTAAAAAAAAAAGTCGTTAAAATCCTTGCTTTTTTGCGGCAGTTATAAGCGATTTCATCAAAAGTTGCTATTAAGAGAGGAAAAAAGAAGCGTTCGTACTCAAAAAGAAAAAAATTCATTATTCGAAAAATTCGCATTTCTGAGCAAAAAGAAAAAATACGTGTCTCCTTAAATTGTTCAAGAAACAGTCCCTGTGAGTTTTATCGCAAACTTAAATTCACTTTCCCCCGGCCTGGGTGATTTGAGATGGAATGAGCCAAATATGAAGTGGGATTGTAAAAATTAAGAATGGCCATACTGGGGCCCAAAAAATTTAAATCGATCAGATTCGTTTAAAACTTTACAACAGATTAAAAAAAAAACAAAATGGCGGCCATATTGTATCTAGCATTGATCACGGAAAAGCTAAAATCGAAAGTACGTTCATGGCGTATGAGTAACATTCTCATCTCGTTTGAGTAACTCATACGCCATGTAGGTACATTCAACTTCAGATCTTCCGTGATAAATGGTAGATCCAATAAGGCTGCCCATTTAGAATTTTTCCAGCGACCCCGAAAACTATATGTCGTGATCTAGCTTTCTGTCATCATTTGCAGAAAGAAATTAATGAGTACACGTTTAAATTGAAAGGGTATTAGTTTACAAGTATTTTGACATATTGCGTGGGCCGGTGAATCGTCCCATATGTATGTATGTGCATATTACATAGTACAAATTTCCTCACTTGTCCTCTTCACCATAATCTTTAATTAACAAAATGATACTATTTTAGTTTATTACTTGAATCTCAACCATACAATTTTTTAAGATACGTAAAAAATTTACATTAAATTATTTTGCTAAATTTTCAGACGTACACCAACACGTACTGACAGCATAAAAGAACAACATTCGAACAACGAGCCGCCATCCATCGTATCTGTAAATTTAGAAAGAAAGGAAGAGACTAACAGCGAAAATATCTCAAACTTGGGAACAACTCTTCCGGCTTCAACGGCTGTGAATGAAAATCCTGAGAATTGCGAAAGGCTAAAGAATACCAGCAAAGGGTCAAAAACATATAAGAACAATTTATTAGACACGGCGGGTAAATCAAAAACAGCATTAAAAAACGAGAACGGCGGACAAAGTTCAAATGTATCTTCGTCGGTCACTTTAAAAATTGATAACAACGCTAGTGCAAATGAAAGAAAAATACCGACTGAATGCAATGCGCCAGCTAATACTGCACCCGGGACTCAGAAGACAGTCGGTGACAAAGATATTGAATCTAGAAAAAAACGGAAAAGAGAATATCAGAAGCACCGCAGACAACTCCTTAGCGGCAAGGAGTTTACAGCCAACACAGTAAACTCTACTTCAAGTGTACCTGGAACCAAAAAGAAGTCAAGAAAGCTGAGTAAAATAGAGGAGGACTATGACAACTTTATTGACAATTTAATGGTCAATTTAAAACAAATGAAACCTCTGCAAGTTTTGGAACCTTTATTAAATAGAAACTTCATTGTTTGCAGTACTTATGGACTAAATAGTAATCTTCCCCGCGGTGTAAATAGTAAAGATAATGGAGATCTTTCTCTTAGTCCACCGCTTTTGGGAGAGTACGGCAATGCGCATCGTTCCAATGCAGTCACTTTGTACGACTCGGGATCATTTTATCCATCCGAAAGCAATAAGGAAAAACAGTTGTCCACGATACAAAATGATTTTTATGACCAAGAGTTCTTGCCAAATATGCGAAGTAATTATTACGATCGCTTCTTACGAATATGGGGCTTTATGAAAGAGCGTAACATTGAATCGTCAGAAATTATCACGAATAGTTGTGTCAATAATACCGACACAGCGGACGCTGTAGGAGAGAAATTTAATCGGTACTCATTACATCAATTTATTTATCCCGGTTTGGTGGTAATGAATAAAAACAGTGATCATTATTTGGGCCGTATGTCTCCAAGTATACCGTTTATCGAGCCAACATTTAATGCCAAAAAGAATTGCTTTTTAAAACCGTTTCACAAAATTGACGACATTGAAAATGTAAAGCATTCTATTACAACAGCAAGTGATGTAAGGTAATTATTTGTCCCATTTTTCGAAAAGATTTCCTAAAATATTTATAATTCTTCACATTTATTAAAATTAAGGCTGGTATTGTGACTTGCGAGGCTAGTAAATTTGGCGAGGTGGACGGTTCGGCGAATCGAACGGTTTTTTGAACACACCTAAAATTTGCATTAAGAGTGTTTCCGATGCAAAGAACTTGTTCAAGCTTGTACAAGCGAACACTCTTAATGCAAATTTTAGTTGTGTTCAGCAAACTGTTCGCTCGCTTCGCCAAATTTATTAGCTTCGCAAGTCGCAATTTCAGCCTAAATACTACACCTTTTCCAGCAGTATTTCAGAAAAACAAAAATGTGTCAGAAAACCTCAAATGTATTTCAGAAAAGGCCAAATGTATTTCAGAAAAAGGCAAATGAAATTCAGAAAAACACAATTGTATTTCAGAAAAGTTCAAATGATCAGTAAAACGCAAACGTATTTCAGAAAAGGACAAATGTATTTCAGAAAAGCAGAAATGTATTTCAGAAAAATATTTTTAGAATACAGTTGGGCTTTTTTGAAATTCATTTGTGTTTTTCTGAAATACATTTGCCCTTTTCTGAAATACATTTGTGTTTTTCTGAAAATCATTAGAGCTTTACTGAAATACAATTGTGTATTTCTGAATTTCATTAGGCCTTTTCTGAAATACATTTGGTCTTTTCTGAAATACATATGAGCTTCTCTGAAATACATTTGCCCTTTTCTAACTACAAAATGCATTAAAGGGTGTTAAATATCTATGTATTTACTTTTCTAATGCGTACCAACGAGATCAACAAAGAAAAATATTAAGAGGAACTATTGGTTAAAAATAGCACTCATGAAAAATCCGCTCAAATTATATTTTTTGAAAAAGCTTTGATACTAATAATGTAATAATCTAAAATAATAACTTAATAGTAAAAAAATATATATATTTTCTAAACAAGCTTTTTCAAGCTTTTTTTTAATTTTTATCGAACAAAAACCATGTAAGTCCGGATTTCAAAATTAAAAAAAAAATAGCAAAATTCGTAAAAGTTTCATTAAAATGTTAAACTTTTAAAACAGTATTTTAGGAAAAAAATTTTATGTAGTTTTGTAGCTCATTAAATCCTAGTATAATATAAAGTGCAAATTTGAGGTTGCTTGGACTTTGGCAACTCTTTTTACGGGCAGCGTCTGAAAAATTTTGTTTACTTTATACTTCTTTTTATTCTTCTTATTTGGCGCAGTAACCGCCTAAGCGCCAGTCGTTTCTCTTCTGGGCCAACTGACGCCTATTGGAAATGCCAAGTGAAGTCAAGTCTTTCTCCTTCTTCAAATCTTTCCAACGCTTACTTTATACTAAAATTTCAAAATTCTGAATTTCAAACAACATTTGTTGAAATTCGTTGAATATTTATAAATCTTTACTTCAGTGGCAAAAAGAGCCCCTTAATCCTCCAACGTCAGATTCCGTACAGCACGTGTGACCTACTCATTTACCGAGCACTATATAGTGGACCATAATTAATGCTTAATTCTACTCAAATCTTTCAGTCTTTATTGTATAGAATTACGATTAGAAGGGTATTAAAAGTATTCCTAAGTCCTTTCGAAAAAATGAACGGTCTAATTTTAACTACAAAATGCATTAAAGAGTGTTTAATATCTATGTATTTACTTTTCTAATGCGTACCAACGAGATCAACAAAGAAAAATATTAAGAGGAACTATTGGTTAAAAATAGCATTCATGAAAAATCCGCTCAAATTATGTTTTTCGGAAAATCTTTGATACTATTTTGAAGGGCAGGTTAATCTAAAATAATAACTTAGTAGTAAAAAAAATATATATTTTCGAAACAAGCTTTTTACAAGCTTTTATTAAATATGTATATGTTTCCCAATTATTTCAACTCCTGCGCCACCTATTGCCAACATTTTTTGCGGAGATATTCCTTTTCATGTACAGAGCAAGTTAAATAAAAGCTTACAAATACTTAAAATTTCAAAATTTTCGGGTTAATCTTGTAGATATAAATTACAGTTTTGGAAATAAGGGATATTTTTTAACTACAAAAATTAATACCAATGAACAAATGTAAAAAGAAAAACACGTATAGGTAATTGATTAGTACACACATACATATATAGTATATCGTCGTTTAAAGTACAAATCCACGTATCGTCATTCTGCAAAACCGGGTAACTGGCATTGGCTGCCAAAAATTGGATTTGCTCACATAAGCTCTTGGCTCAATCCTTATCTATTCGTCCTGAAATATAATAGCCAGAAATGCGATTGATTTATAAAAAAGAGAACCATTTTGAAATGTGTGTTTTAGCTCTCTAGAAAATAATTTATGCAACCTCACATACGGGGTTTTGCATTATCTTTATACGCGGTTTTGCATTTTTTGATACGCGGTTTTGCACTTTAAGCGACGATATGTACATATTTCTACAACTTTCACATACGCGGTTTTGCATTTTGCTGATACGCTGTTTTGCATTTTGTTGATACGCGGTTTTGCACTTTAAACGACGATATGTATTTCATATCGACATGCACTTTCTAAATTTAAGAGACGTCATGAGAAATCATGACTACAAGCATAAAATTTTAAATACTATTTTTTGCGTATTTTAGGACAAAGTGCGACGATGGCAACAATCGAGGAGTTACGTTATCTGTACAGTTATCTGCTGTTAATAATATATTTGGTGTGCTCAAAGACTTGGCAAATTTATTGCATATTCCAGCGCCTTCGATGTATAAAATTATTGATACACCTACATTTAATTTATCCCGCGATCTTTCACCTAAGAAAAATAATAATTTAATAGCTAAAAGTCAAATAAGTTTTCAGCAAGATATTATCTGCGGTAGAAAGAAAGTATGCTACAATTGTGGAACCTCGGTTTCAGAGGTTGGAATTCAAGCATTTAAAGTTCCTTTCTGTGATACAAAAGGAGTTCCCAATTCTACTTTTCCTCCGAATTTGGAGCCAATGAAGTTGCAATTCTGTGACAAATATTGTTATGAACAATATAAGTGTCCTAACAAACCACAAATTGCAAGTTTGACACCAAAAGTGGAAGAAGTACCAATGAATGTTGAGCAAAAGTTTAGTGATAAAAATTTGAATGTAATCAGAACTAATGTATTACAAAGTAATGCTGTTAAAAAGCACGAAAAAAAAACTTGTTACAAGCACTACAATGATAACTGTTTTAAAGATGTGAAAAAGAATTGTTGTATCGCTGAAAACGAGATAAAAGGTTCTACTATCTGTAAAAAAGACACATATTCGGAAGAAAACTGCGAACAAAGTGGATTTGCTGGCTGCGTTTTAGATAGTCCTTTTGAAGATATTCGTCACTGTGTTTTTTGTTATCAACGTGGAGATGGCGCTCCCAATGGACCGTCACGATTACTAAATTTCGATATCGATAAATGGGTAAGATGGTGTGCATAGTAATAAAACTGTAGTACTAGTGGTAAACTGAGAATTGGTACAGGCCGTAGATATACTATTACAAATAAAATATTAAGAGCCCCACCGATCCCAAGTATACATAAAAACATATGATGAAATCTCAGAAATCGTAAATTTTTAATTAACTCTCGATATCATTAAACGTGCGATATGTACATATGTGTATGCATTATTATTTCAGGTACACTTAAATTGCGCGTTATGGTCCAGCGAAGTTTACGAGACTATAAGTGGAGGTCTTATGAACTTTCCAGCAGCTTTACATGTGGGACTCAATCAGTCGTGTAGTGGTTGCCAACAACTAGGCGCAACTGTGCGATGCTTCAAAAATCGCTGTACGCAAGTTTTCCACCTACCGTGTGCAATAAGAGAGAATTGTGTGTTCTACAAAAATAAAACTATACATTGTCAGCAGCATGCAACTCGTTTAGAAAAGGAAAACGAACTTACATCTCTTATCGTTCAAAGAAGAGTATTCGTTGAACGGGATGAAAATCGCCAAGTCGCAACTGTGATGCATCACTCGGAATTAACAAATTTACTTCGAGTGGGTACTTTAATCTTTTTGAATGTCGGACAATTACTTCCACATCAATTAGAAGCCTTTCACAATATGGATCATTTATACCCCGTAGGCTATAAAGTTGTAAGTAAAATAATTAAATGCCATAGAAAATGCTTCCATTCCTTTTAAGTGCGGGCATGTTATGTATGGCTATGGCATTTTTTCGACCATCAATATCAAAATAATAGTTATAATACAATAAGATCCAGAAAAAAATTTAAATCTAAAAAATTACTCTTGTATCTGTTTTCATCTAAAATTAAAAAAAAAACAGTACATGAATTTGTTTTTGTTCCTTTAAACAATTTTGCGAAGCGCTTCCGACTTTGTTTTGGGGCTATTATTGAAATTAATGCATGGATATTTTAAGTTACATTGACAATCAGAATTTCGATGTTTCGACTTCACTCTGAAGTTTCCTATTTCGATTGTTAAATTTCAGTTTCGAAATGAATTAAAGTTTGAAAACAGTGTACTGCTGCGAAAAACAGCATTGAAACCACCGTTATGATCATTCTTAAAATGTAAATAAAATTGTCAAAAATTTCTCATGCACATAAAACTTGTATGGGACCAACCGAAATTGAACGGCGTGCGTAAAAAGCTAAATCAATATCCAATTTTTGTTCTGCGTGGGCTTTTGATTTGATGTTTCGGTTAGTGAAATCAAATGCATACGCACTCGAGCCAATTTCGGAAGACGCAGAAAAACAAATTAGACTGCGGCAAGAAATAACCTCAGTAGCTTGAAAAATATTCTTTAGGTTTAACTGGTTTTAAATTTTTTTGTTTCTAGATTCGTTTCTACTGGTCGATGAAAAAACTAAATCGGCGATGTCGATATGTATGTTCAATAGCTGAAGTTGCTGGTCGCCCTGAATTTAGAATTCAGGTTCAGGAATCCGGAAACGAAATCGAATTACGTGACTCCTCGCCGAATGCTGTCTGGAAACAAATTTTGACACCGATTGCATCCCTGCGCAAAAGGACTAAAGTTATACAGCTTTTTCCTCAATTTATATCCGGAGAAGATCTTTTTGGATTAACCGAGCCTTCTGTGGTTCGAATCATAGAGAGCTTACCGGGGATAGAAACCTTGACGAACTATCGCTTTAAATATGGGCGTAACCCTTTGTTAGAGCTTCCCCTTGCAATAAATCCCAGTGGAGCTGCGCGCACCGAGCCCAAACAGCGGCAAATCGTTGCTTGGAGAAAACCACATACGCAGCGTACTGGCTCTACCGCGAATCAGCGCATGGCGAATTCCACAACATCTACAGTTGCTGGAGAAATAGCTTGTCCTTATAGCAAGCAATTTGTCCACTCTAAGAGTTCGCAATATAAAAAAATGAAACAGGAATGGAGAAACAATGTGTACTTGGCAAGGTAGGCAAAACTTTTAAAATTTTCTGCATATATAGGCACTTATGTTTATTGATACGAATTGCTTCTAGATCGAAGATACAAGGACTTGGTTTATATGCTGCGCGAGACATAGAAAAACACACCATGATAATCGAATATATTGGGGAAGTTATTCGCACCGAAGTTTCAGAAATCCGGGAGAAGCAATATGAAGCAAAGGTATTTGATATTCCTAAGTAATTACTACATGTTATTAACTTTATACGATTAGTACAAACTATGAAGAGCAGGGGTTTTTCTTGCAATTTTTGCGCAAATAAGTATCATATGATACAAAAGCCGAGCGCTTTTGTTTTGTAAGAAAATGTATTCAATTGCGCATAAAAGCGGTATTAGTAATGGAAATGGTTGACATCGTCGCCGGATCAACTTTTTTTTCTAAGAGAAAGAGGCAAAGTCTAGCAGCGAACGAGGACAAGGCAAATAGCCTCTAGGCGTAGATATTGTAAAACAGCTATCGACGAACAAAAAGTTATATGTCCCTGTTCGCATGTCCTAGCATGTCCTAGCAGCGCTTCATTGAAAAAGTTAAGATAAGTAGGAGCTTTTCAGGCTTACTCGATGGAAACTCCCAACAATCTAACCCTGAAAATAGACCTAATTGTGTAACCAAAACATACTTGGGTTTTAAAATGTGATAAAAACTAATCTATTAACATTAGTGCTTCCGTATTTTTTATAAAATCTGATTGAAATTCATCTGTTGTTGTTGTTGTTGTTGTTGTAGCGGCTACAACAACCCCGCCCAGGACGGTTGGTATCTCAGTCGTTGTCGTCAAGTTCCACTAACGGCAACCCTAGGAAGCGTGCAGTTTCTGTGGGGTTTGTCCACATGGACAAGGCCGTTAGGGTTGTCGGGTTTTCCGGGCATGCGAAGAGATGTTTCGAGTCATGTGGGGTCTCTCCGCATGCCGGACACTCATTCGGCACATCCTCATTCAACCTACTCAGGTAGGAGTTCAACCTGCTGCAGTAGCCGGAGCGAAGTTGTGCAATTGTTGTGCATGTCTCCCGAGGCAGATGAAGCTCTGTCTCGTCTATGTCCGGGGGTGGTATGCCTAGAACGGCATTCACAGGTCTAGAGTCTACATAACTCGAGACTGAGTCCCTGTGAATGCCGTTCAGGGCCTGTCTGTAAGCTGTCGGGTCCAGAGGTTGCTTAATGAACCTCTGGACTTCGTCCGTCAGTTCATATAGATGCCTCCTGACGTGCCTAGGCGAGGGCTCCTCTGCAAGCAGCTGTCTGCTTGGGTGGCCACTTCTGTGGCTCCCGATCAGGAACTGCTTACAGAGCATTATATTGTGCTTGTACAGGGAGCATTTGCGCCTCGCCGTGCAGGTGGTGTTCAGGCGACATCAGTGCTGTTGTTGTACTGTGCACTTTACGGAAACCATGCTGATTCTTCGCTGGGGTCAGGTGGTTTGTGAAGTACGGGACTAGCAAGGCCTCGAGTGTCTTCGCTACCGGGGAAAGGAGTGTTATCGGACGATAGGAATCTCCTTTGTTGGCAGGTTTCCCCGGTTTGAGCAGTGGGACCACTCTCCCCACCTTCCAGATGTCTGGGATGATGAGAGTGGCCATAGACAAGTTGAGGACCTCCGTTAGGTAGTCTACCCCCGCAGGACCCAAATTTTTCAGAATCAGCATGCATATTCCGTCGGGACCCATGGCTTTGGAGGCTTTCGCCTTCCCGATGGCCACCTGAACTTCACCGCAAGTGAAAGCAAGGGGGGTACAGGTTGTTGGCAGTTTGTGCAGCCTTCTGGTCACTCGACGCTTGGCTTTGTCCACCGGAGGATGCAGTATGAACTGCCGGCTAAAATAGCTCGCGCATCGCTCCGGGTCCGACGAGGCATGGTTTTCGAAGGAAATTTCGACTCTGTCGTCGTGCTTCGTCGGATTAGACAATGACCTCACGGTTGACCAAAGCTTGCTCACACCAGAGGTGAAATTACAGGTCTTCAGATGCTCCTCCCACTTCTTCCGCTTATGTACGTTTACTAGTTGCCGAATCTCCGCGTTGAGATCCCTGATACGGGGATCTCCGGGATCGGCCTGACGAAGGCTATCACGCTCATCGGCTAGAACAGCCGCTTCGGCAGGGAAGTTTGGACGTGGGTCCGATATACATCCTGCCGGTATGAAGCGAGCTGCAGCAGCAGTGACGGAACTTACGTTCACCGAGATGGACGTCGGTTGGTGTGGGGAGCGCGAAAGTATGTATATGTTAAATATTTGGAGCTCGACATCGCCTGACCGGATAGCGATGCCCTGACATTCTAGGGTGGTATCCCTGCGGTCGATGTCTGCTTCGATAAGACGATACTGCACGGTGTGGTGCGTGATGAACGCTAAGCCACCACCATTATCTCGCTCGCGATCTCGACGGTGCACGTTGTACCCGGCGCAATTCAACAAAGTTGAATTGCTGTGCAACTTCGTCTCTTGGACCGCAGCTATCAATATACCATGCCGACACATGAAGACGGTTATCTCCTCAATCTTGCTCTGTAGCCCGTTGCAGTTAAATTGAAGGAGCTTCATGTGGTTCGGGAGACGTGTCGTGATGAGGGGTGTAAGTGAAGTGTATGTTCTTGCCGCCGTTGGCTGTGTGTGCTGCTGTGGTGATTGCCGCCCTGTGGTGGTGGCGGGGGGCGTCGCAATTGGGGTCTGCGACCGAGCAGCGCAACACGGGCCCTCGAAGTTCCCAGTCCAATCTCGCGTGGTACGCAGACCTGAGCATGCCCTAAAGTGGCACCAGCCAAGGCAGGTGTTGCACTTGACTGATGTCACATTACGGAATATCCTGGTCTGACATACCGTGCAGATTGTAGGGGGAACCAGGAGTGGTTGGCGGCGGCGTGTGGGTAGTGGTGCGGTTGTGTGTGTTATGTGGTCTGTAGTGGCTGTGGTACGGTTTGTGGTGTTATTATGTTGTTGTGTTGTGGTGACTGTGTGAGGCTGCTGTGTG